CTATACATTTGAACCAGTTAAGCGCTTGGCCCTCAAAGCGCTGGTAGCTAAGGTAACTTTTTGAAACTCGTGCACGGGGTAGAGCATGAAGTGGTCATCCAATTTTTCCAAAAAACTGGTTACCGGTGAGTTTCCATTAAATGTTGCTTCTGGTTTCATCGAAGCGCGCATGGTCTGGACGATGTAACCAAATCCTTCCAGGGCGGCAGCTGGCATTTCTGGATTCTGAGCCGTTTCTGCAGGCAGCACAGGTTCTTCTTGAAACTCGGCCATGGTTATTCTTCCTCGTTGGGCGCCACTATCAGGGTCAATGTTCCTTCTAACCTTCTTCGGGAACATACAAGGACCTGACTCGGAACAGAGAGCTTACTAAAGCTATGTTCACTAATTGTGGTAAGTAGACAGGATACAGACGAAGGGTATACAAAACCCTTTATTTTTCTCTATATACAATAACTTCCGTACTTCGGAATACACTGACCTGCCACTTGGGGTCTAACGTAAAAGTATAAAAATAAAACTAAACTCTAATTTATATTTAAACTAATAAATGTGGAAGATTGGCCTTATAATAACAGGAAGCGTATGTAGCACAGAGACTGTGAACACTACAATACGTTTGAATTTTATCAAGAGGATTAAAACCTCTGGCCTGGAAGGCAAACAGCAACTGCGTAACTTCTAAGGTAAGCGGCCTGCGTTGACTCACTGCTTCCTCTCTCTCGGTTGGCAAAAGGCCACAACTTAAATACTTGGCGTTCGCCAGACAAACTTTGCATAAATACCTTCACGCTTATAACTCTGGCCGGAAGTAGAAAATAAGAAGTGATAGTAAAGATTTAAAATAAAAAAAAACGTTAGTAAAACTTAAGATCCTTACAGCTTTTCTGAGATCTGGCAACAACTATTACAATATTCCAGTCCTAGAATAAGCAATAAATTTAAGTCAAATCTTGTTTAATAAAATTGAAATATATCGCAATAATATTAAATGACTTTTCCAGGAGAAATATTTGAAATGTTCTATTTTATTAAATATTTATATATTTCTGAATAATTAATCTTGAATGGTGAGTGAAAAATACATTTGAACTAAACACTTCATAAGAATTCGCATGACAATGTCTGATAATCTCGAACTGAAATTTGAGATAATAATACAGACTCTTTTATTTGCCCTCGGGATGATTCTTTATTGGCACTATGATATCAGTTATCGTAAAGGTCCCTAATTTTCAGAGGTCGTTTTTTCATATCACCTACAATTTAAATCATACACCATTGCTTTAAATAAATGTAAATAAGATGAAAACCGGTTTACTGATAAATAAGGCATTGACGATTGCAGATATGTAATATTGCTTGAATTTTATGACAACTCTGAATTTTTTCCATACCTCAGAGATTTTCATAAGCAGATAATAAAGTTGTCATGAAATTATGTGCTAAGTTACGCGTAGAATTATTAAATGTTTACTTATTTTTCAGTATAATAGTTCTTCATGTGACAATCCTTTGTGTAGATCAAATATTTATTCTTAGTTTGTATTGTATTAGCATTTAACATACGAAGAAAATGTAATGTATACTTACTTAAAGTAAAAAATATATCCTTTTACACTTTAAATTGTGTAGTTATTTGTTACAGCCATTATAGTAAACTGCACCACAAAGAAAAGTACTTGTATTCTTCAGGAAGAAGCGTTTAGTGGATTTCTCACAAAAGTCTGAATTCTACACAGATTTAAAATTTAAATTTTCAGAAATGTCCTATTATGCAAAATACAAGAATTTCGAATATGTTAAAGATTTTAAAATTATGATATGTCAAAGATGTCATGCTTACATTTTTGCACTGAAGAAATATACCTATTAGTATTCATGATCTTTATTATTATTATTGAATGCAGTGATTCATTTTTCATCAGAATGCAGGTGGGTGTACTATTTTTTGTCACATATGTAAACATGACATCAGACATTTGAGTGTTTGTAAAGGCTGGTTTTATAATTTGAGGAATATTTTTAGTTGTTTCTAAATTCGATCTGAATGCTCTTCTAACGTAACATAATTGAAAGTCCTATGTTGTTTTCCAACAGGTTAAAATTTGCTTTTCTATAAGCAAAGGGCGATTAATTTCAGTATTTTTAATCAAGATTTGTAAATTAAATCCATATTGTAAAATCTATATTGGTTAAATAACTTAATCATAATGAATCCAATGTTCAGATACATTGGAAAAGCCACTGATAAGGGTTTAATCTTTCATTTTCAATTAATTACTTAGAAAAGCATTACATATCATGACATTATCACGGCTTTTTTCGGTCATAAAACACTTTACCTAAAACTGTATTTAGTGAGTCTTAAAACATGTATTGCAAAGTTTTGGAGATTTTATTTATATAATTAATTGGTAAATGACTAAATTAATCCAGTGTTTATTAATTTAAGTCGAAATGAAATGAATATCGAAATAATGACGTTTTCTGAAGTTCTGAATTTAGTTAGGCTGTTAGTTTAGATGATAGAAGTGGTGTGGAAGTTCTTAAACTTCTTGGCTCTACATAAAAGAATATATGAATGATTTTTCTACACTTGGATTTGATTTGGTCGTAGCTATAAAATACATAAAGTCAACAAGAAAGTCTCAACGTTTCTTGTTTACCTGATATCTGATACTGACCTATAAATCTCACGTTTTGATTGATGTGTAACAAAAACATTTCCCGTAAACAGAATAATGTTATAAGTAACCTAAATAACATAAGAGATTTTCAATTAGCTTTGTTGCTATCATAAACCTAAAACACTAAACACCATCGATTTGAGTTGAAAGGAACAAGGCAATGGGAAATTTGTTCACACATTCTTTTTTCTTCTACACAGTTAAAATTTGTATAATAGGCTGATTTGAAACAATGAATTTTTAGAATAATGTGTTTTTCATTTTTAATAATCTAGCGGAATTTATAACATTTCTAAACTATCATTTATATTCAATCTATCATATATAAACAATCAGGAGGGAAAAATAGAAGTCAGAGCTTATGCTTTTCAAACATGCTATTTTGAGATATAGGTTTTCATGTTTTGCTACAGGCACTATTAATTGACATCTACTTTCTATAATTAGAAACAGTATTTCGAGATTCTTTTAAAACGGTTTATATTTCTTAAATTAAAAATTAAACTCCCAAACTGACAACATTTCGCTCTTTTAAATTATGCCCGCACTGAATTTCTCTAGTTCTCAAAACTAGAAGAGACTGCGTCGGGACTTATAGGTCAGGAAAACAATTTGTGTTATTATCTCCAAGGTTTCTTATAATCGGATTGTTCACCTCATGCCTGAAATTAAGGATATTCATGAATCGTAAATGACTTATTTGAATATATGAAATATGTAAACAAACTAAACAAACATTATTTAACCAACTGCTCTCAAGCTATTTGCAGAAGACTATGGTGCAACAAGCACTACGTGGGGTTACGCTACACTTCCTCAAAAGGATGAGAACCTGAAAATTATATTTACGTCAACTGACTGGTCGTACACAACACAACAGGCACATACTCAGCATTTGAAAACGTAAATGACAAATGTTGGCCAGATCTGACACCGACTACCTTGCAAATCGATGATATCAAACAAAGTTGAAAATTCTGGAAGACACAGAAGACAGAAGCTGATCTGATGATCACTTAAAGCATTTTAAACTTAACCACTACAGCCATAGTCAAATGCTTAAACGTCCTAAAATTAAAGTCAACAACCACCAATAGACCTGACAGCGACTACTTTAAGAAAACGGAATATGTCTAGAATAACAAAGTACATTCAAAGCACTGGATGCATACACAACATTTCTTCTCACCAAAATAAACAACATATACAATAACATCATCTCGCAGAATGAAACTAAAATGTTACTAATTTAGTCTAGTGGAACAAAGATGTACGAAAGCAGCAACACAAATGCAAGCTTATAAGACACAATATAAGACACAAGCAGAATGTACGATACAGGATTCTTTACGTGAACTTCTTCTGCAGAAGTTAAGGAAAGAAAGGGTTGTTTTATAACCAACATATAAACGCTAATTTTATGTTTCGTTTTATTCCCTTAAATTACTCTTCATTTCAACACTTCCTTTCAAAATATAAAGTATAAAGAAATTACTTGCAATTTGTTGTGATGGTTAACAATGATATGAATGTAACAAGACGTAACCATATACACTCATTCCGATACCTATGTATCCTTCCAAGGCATACGCTTCAAAGTTTGCAGATGCATCCAATACAAGGAGTCGAGAGAAAACAACATGTAAGAAACGTTTTGCTGTATTCTGTGTAGTATATTATACCTGCAAAAATAATGTGAATTATTTTATATGGAATGAACTTAGTTTCATTAAAAAATTCTCTCAGTTAATAATAAGCTAGACTATTTTGGTGAAACTATAGGCTATACTAGTGAACTGTGCTATTTTTAGGTGAAATGTTATGTTTCGGGCTAAATAATTGAGAATTATTCATCAGCTAATTTTGGATTAACAGAAACGCAGTGGTTTTCCAAGGGGAAGGAGTTCAACTCAATTTGATCTACCTCCTCTTCATAACGCTGTATCAGATTTTGATTGCCTTCTTCTCTCTTTATAATTTTTGTAATTTTTGTATTTCCCGTATCTTTTTGTATTTCCCGAGAGGATACTTCTACTGATGGTTGATTTTTTACATATTTAGAGGGACTTTTGGTTTTTTCTGGTTTTGAATTTCATTTCTTTCATATTTTTTGTGGATTTGTCTCTAAATGTATTATTTCTTAAATATAATTTATTAATTTTCAGCGGCATATTGTGAGGAAATAATATTGGGATAATTCAGTTTTCATATAAAAAATATGGTTATGCTATATAATATCATGCATCGTTTCAATAGTCTTGTCTGTGTCTTGAAATATAATTCAGATACTATAAGCAGAATAAATGGACATGACATTTTATTGATATATGTATATAATAATAAATACTGAATGTTTGTTTAATGATCGAAATTTTGAAAATCCAATGGTATTAAATAGTATTAATCGAAATGCAATTTTTTTCAGGATTTAATGAAGCAATAGAAGTCCTAGAAATTTTCTTGAATTTCCAGTGGACGTGTTTTATAAAAGCTCCATTCTATCCACTGATCATCACTAGCTTTTGCTGTCTTCAGCGGATCTACAAGAGGAAAAGAACAAAAAAGAATTATAAATATACGAAGCTATTCATCCTTCAAATATGCTAATCCTTGTTATTTTTGTGAAAAATGAACATGATTAGAGAAAAAATTTAAATTCAAAACTGAAGCAAGTTTAGTAAAGTAGTGAATTTAGTAAGTTATCGCAGTTAAGCTACACGGAGGTGGTAGTAAAAACATTAGCAAAACAATATACAAAATAAACTTCTATATTTTAAAAATGTTTTAATGAGAACAAATACGCAGATTAACTTCATTTTGAATTCTAATATATTCAAAATTAAGAAATATTCTTGACTATTGGTGCATGATCTGTTTATGCTGTTATTAATAATACCTCATATTATACTAAATGACTAACTCCACTTGATTCAAGCTTTTGTAGCAAAATTTACGAAAAACTAAAATTAGAATAATATAAATACATTAAAACGCGCTATATATGAAGCATTTATATTACGAGAAACTTACTAAATAATTTTCATACAGTGTGACAACTCCCACTTTAAAAAAAGTAAGTGATGTGATTTATTTTGATAGAAAAGCAGAAGAGACGCAAGGCATTTGGAATCAATTCATTTCTCGTTCGAATCATGTTGCATTATGCGTGAGATTAAAAGTTTCTTAGAGCTGTATCTATCAGTTGTCATGAACTAATAGAATAATATTCAAGTCATAGATAGATAGCTATTTGAATTTAAACAAAATAACCGTTTATCACTTGTCTATTGTTTATTCTGGGTTTCCAAAGACAAAATTTATTCATGGAAAATTTTATATTTTTTTTCGCTTCTTGGCTATCAGTGCAGTTTTAAGTTATTTCACCTTTATGATTTAGATTTACATATAATAATCTTTTAAACAAAAGTAAATCTAAATCATAGCGTTTGTTAGCCATTAACAACATTTTCAACATTATTTTGTAATTTTTCAATCAAAGAATTTTATTATTCTTGCACCTCATTTGACCAAGAACATAAAATTCCCTGCTAACCCGTTATTACATTGCCCTCTAAGTTAATGGACGAAATTATTACCTTGTTTAGTAATGCAGAAATAAATTACAAGAAAGTCACGTGAGATTTATAAAAAATGCATAATAAGAAAAGTACACATAAAATAACACTATTTTTATATAAATTTATATAAATATTTTTTATATAAATTTTCTCAGCAAAGTAAATTTATTATGTGGTCAGTAACCGTCAGAAGGGAAGAAAAACTTTGGATACCATCCTCAAGGGCCTTTCCAATCAGAATTAGTATGATGTGTGTTGGAGCTGCCCAGAGGCCCATGGCCAGAGACAGATTAATTTATCTCCAGCAGTCATTCTTTATGAGCTCGCCCGGTCTGTCCCAAAATAGGTAAAAAAAAAAAAAGATAGCAGGATATTTTTTGACTGCATAGCTACGAAATTAAACGATTTGCAGAACTTCCTAATGTAAAACATACAAACTGAAATCTACTTCCTTATTAGGAATTAGAATACGAAGCATATTAAAAAAAGTTTTTTAAAAGAAATGTATGTTTAAAAAATCCCGATTTACCTTCTGCTTCTTTCATATGAAATTTAACTTAGCACACAATATAATACAAATTTAAATTAGCAGAGACTTTTTGTTCATTAAATTTTAATCATTAAATGTTACGTTTCTTATTGACTTAAATTTAACAGTATTACTTCATATTATATTCATTATATCGTTTAATAAATTTTGAAATTAGAAAAATAATATTTAAAATATTTGAAATTTTGCTCAAATTCTTGCTTCCCTTTTTTCACTATTTTTATTCCGCCTAGATTTCTTTAAAAATTATATTTTTAGTAGTTTTCATAGTTTCTTTAGAACCTTGAAATGTTTTGTGAATGGTTCTTTGTTATGTTGAAAGGAAATTAAATACTTCCACCTCGTTTTGGTCAAATAAATTTATTATAGCTTGGAAAATACGGTTTCAGCTTTCAAAGCTTTTCCTCCGTCACGGGGTTCACAACAAAGACGCATTAATGTTCTAGAAGTATATAGAGTTAATTTTTAATCCTTTTCATGCATAGAAAAATATTTGGTTTTTAATTGCCCAATATAAGTTTTATTTATAATGTAATATATTAATATATGAATTTTCTAAATGCATTTCCACCTCAAACATTTCGAAACACAATCATTTCGAAAACGTAAATCTAAACCACAATTTCAGTTTTTAAATATATTGCAAAGAGTTTGAAATACCAAACGTGCTTTTTAGTTAATAAACGCAAATTACATTTAACCCATTATTTAATTAAAAACTTTTGAAGTAATTAGTACTATATTAAATATGTAAAAAATCGCCTTACACTATAGCGTATATAATAAAAGCACTTAATTTGGTATTGAAAAATTGACCAGGAACGATTAAGAATGTGCAAAACGTATGGAAAAATGTTTTGGTTTTATTTAAATTCCATTTATTTGTATTATTACTAATAAAAATTTAACAAAGGAATAAAAAGTTCACTTTCAGAATCACCCTTTGCATTTTTTGCAGCATCGCTTTGAATAATTCCTTGACAGAATTTTAGACGTTTGCTGATGTCTCAGCTGTGTAATCGGATTGAACAGTGGATACAAGGTTGCCAGCATAGGTGCTAAATTTAATAGAATTATATTCATTATATAGCAAATAATCTCTGCAATTAAAATATTTATTAAAATATATAAAATATTTGCTTGATGGGTAAATAAATCCTCAAATTTCGCGCTGCCGTAATTTAATGCCGCACAAAACTATCTACTTTTTAAAGCTGCCAAAATCTTTTGTGCGTAGTATGGAATATTTTTCAACCGGTTTACATTATATTAAGCAGTAAAATATTATAAAAGATTAACAGAAATAACTTTCTCTTCCTTTTTAAACTTTCTGAAAATGGTAAATTCATATAGTATGCTCGTTATATTGTGTTATAAGTATTTAATGAATCGACCTTCATTCTGAAATATAATGTTCATGCTGCATTTTCACTTTTTCCTTTTTTAAAAAAAACCTATCAAATGCTATTAACTTAAAATTTTTGATAATATTTGTAGATCATGCAAGGTTTCAATTTTAACTCTGATTCTACATCTACATAAATGCATTCTTCCTTAATCACTTTCATACAAGTTAGCTATGTTTAATTTTCCTTTAAGATCTTTAAATACAAGAACACATTTGCTTTTAGAACTACTGATGACGACAATGGTTCAATCCTAAGTAAGAAAAAAGAAAGACAATTTCGTGTTTCATTTAAAACTAAAATATCTTTTATTTTTCAAGAGAAATGGTCATGAACATGATAACTGTAGAAAAATATTTTGATTATAGCTTATAATTAAACACATGAGTACATTCATCCGGTATTTCAATGTTGAAACGTACTTGAAGTTAACATGCAGATACGTATGCGAATTTTATTCCAATTTTTGAAATAATACTGATTAGTATTCGAGTAGAAGAAAGTTGTAGCGCAAAATTTTAAAACAATCAAAGGTTTCAAATGAATAAATTTTGAAATTAACAGTTTTTTTAGTGCATTTACTCTGGAGATCAAAGGAAGAGTTTGTTCAAAGGAAGATCAAAGGAAACGTTTTGCTTCCTTTCCAGTCCCTTTATTTGTTTGCGAATTTTAATGTGAAGATGTCTGAAGATAATCGTGTAGCTTTTCTTTAAAGAATTTTGCAACATACGTGAAAATACAACAATATATCTGCATAATTAATTAATTCTACAATGTATAGAAAAACGCTTTAAATTAACATAAACAACACGTAAAACTGACCGGAAAATTCAAAATTATATTTGTATAATAAATAAAGAACATTCATGAAATATAACAATAAAAGCATTGCTTTAAGTCGAAAAAAAATTAAATGTTTGATTATTCCTGCACAAGCACTATATATTATGAAAGTAATTGGTTTATGCAACTATATATATATATTACTAGAACAGCCACTCATTCAGCAAACTTAGAATTCCTTTATGAATTTAATATAAGGTTTTAAAAATTTAAGGCACAATGAAAATATTTTACAATGAATTATTAAAAAGGGAGCAGAAACTTCTATCTCTTTTATTTTTAGGATACGATAAGTAGCGTTAGCAAATAATCCCGAAAACGTGCTTTTTCCCCCTTTGGTTAAAATTTTAATGGTATATTGCTTGGGCTGAACAAGATATTAAAAATGGATTTATTTCTACTGACATACTGAGAAACAATAACTTAGGACATAAAAATTAATTGATTTTATCTGAACGTACTGTTATGCTGTAAATGATTAGATAATCCAGACAGGATATGGAAAATTCATAGTTCAAATCCCGGCAAATGCACTTATCGTTTCATATCTACTGCTTAAAAAATCCCAGTAGTCTCTATAGCTGCGGTAGAACTAATATGTAGAGGATGATGATTTATCATCATGTGGTATTTGGTTGACTGGGCGTCGAGTCTCATTTTCCAGTCGCTCTATTAGAGGTATAAAGAGTTATTGCATAAGCAAACCAGGTTATGCATAAGGCGCTCCCAGGTTATGCGTCTACCAAAGGGGGAAATAAGCACACCCACATTATGCATAACCACATCTATGTTATTAGAAGACCCATTGGTTCGAAGTATAGACAGGTTATTTATGGACATTTGATTTTTCATGTTTTCTATGGCGAAACCTCAAATAGACTCTAGAAAGCTACAGCCGAATTTTGAATTAACCAAAGAACGATTGATCTGATTCATAACATTCAATCATTGCTGGGCCGCAATAATGAACAGTGTGAGAGTCCGTAATTTATATCATATTCGTTTATCACAACATCTAGAAAAAATTAATACTTTTCTCCTTTCCAAAGTGATGTTGACGGGGAATACAAGCATAGATGACTGCAAGGGTTTTTTCCTAACTTAGAATAATTTCAGATATTCCCATTTTACTCTGTAGTAAACTATTAATTAAATTATACACA